AGAAGCATGGACATGGGGTAGGAAATGTGTCAAATCAGCATCCGATTTCTGTAAAGAGTCTAGTTCTTTGTTGAACATGCCCTAAGTAGGGATCTGACCTAAGATGCATCCCATTTATGCCTTTTGCCCTTTGATGGCATCTGATAACGTATTTGGGTATTTGGAGGTATGAGTCAAGTGAAATAATATGATCAGATGTTTACTAAAAAGAACCTCAAAAGAAAAATCATTTAGGGTCTCAGGATTTCGGAAACTTTTGCGATGGTGAACTGGAAAAGTAGCATATGTATTAAGGAGAGAATGGCACCTCAAATAAGGTTTGTTTATTCTACCACGAACAAAAGTGAATTTTCCCCTGTACATCCCTTCAGGGCTTCTTGTGTTTCGTTCTTGTCAGTGTTTAATAACAAGGCTGTTTTCATTTCTATTAGGGAGACACTACCATAGCTTGGATAACAAGGGAGGCTGGGAATCGGGAGCTGGAGAGTTCCTAAAGCGCACCTCTTATCTTCGGCTGCAAAGCGGCCATTATTTTAAGTCCATTGTGCTCCAAACTGGGAAGCCAGAAACACAAGAATTGGACCTTCTCTTTTTCTCAGTCTCTCCAAAGAGAAAATGCAGTCAGCAACTTTTGATGCCCCCTAGCAGATATCTTACAGGCATGGACGGAGCCTGACCTAGAACTTCGAGGATCTTGGTTGGAGGGGCGGGTGGCGGGTGCGGCAAATGCAGTGTTTGAAAATTTTGAGCAGCCACGTGCGAGCTTATTGCTCTGACCATTGTTTGTTGGCTTTCCTCCCCCCAGCAGGAGTCTCTCCTTTTGCTGCAGCCCAGGGCAACGCAGTGGTATGCTCCACAGAAATGCCTTCAGAAGGACACCCCCGTCTCCCCGAAGTAGGCTGGGTGGAATTGTGGGACCAGCGTATCAGCAGCTTGAAGAATCAAGGATCCCAGACCAGGATACGATACCTTGCCAAGGGTAGGTCTTAAAAGCAATGGAATTTAGGGAGGGCGTCATGGATGCTAGAGCTTTAAGCTGAGTTATGTTCCTTGGGGTTTTATTCATAATTTCATCCTTAATTGGCTATTTATGCTTGCTTCCATCTTTGTTTCACAAAAGCTAAACTAACTTTATTATCATTTTTTAACTGACTAGAGTCTTTATTTGTTCATAAGAAGCCACAAGATAAGTCAGGAAATATGACGCTCATGACTTCCATTTGTAGTTAACAGAAAATAATCTATAGGCAGCTTTCCTGATAATAAAAAGCGAAAGCCAGGGTCTGGTAGAAAAACAACAGTTACTGATTATACTTCAATTTTTAAAAATTGGGGCATATTATTATTAATATTATTAATTATTAATATTACATCAATTACATTGATACGGTCAGTTACAGTGTGTCAGTTTCTGGTGTACAGCATAATGTCCCAGTCATGCATATATATACATATATTCCTTTCCATATTCTTTTTCATTAAAGGTTATTACAAGATATTGAATGTAAAAAAAAAAAATCAAAGGTTAGCCAACTAGAATTGGCCCTTTCTCTTGAGGACTCTCTTCTATCCGTATCCTTATTGCTAATTCTGTCTTGTTATCTGAACAGAGGAAGGTATGAACAGAAAATCACAGTCTAATCACATGCTGAACTTTTAACATGGTATCCTGATCAGTGAATTTCCTGCACAATAGATGCTTCCCTCATCGACTTTGTCCCTGTCTATGTATTAGGCACACCTAACTACCCTATAGTATATTAAGGAAAAGAAAAAAAAACTAACTTTAAAGAATAGATACAGTGGGAAAAGATATTAGGGAAATATTAGCTGGGAAGTAAATATAACACTAGGAAGAAAGTTAAGTGTATAGATATCTAGACACTATGTTATTATACAGTTGCTAAAATTACTAGAAACGTTTCTTTCATTAAAAAAAACCCCAGAGCTATCTTAGGAGGACTAACGTGCTCCTTCACCCTTATGTTTCGAAAAAAGTACTTAATTCTCTAATCACTATTGTGGACAACACCAGAAACAGTAACTTGTAACAAAACATCGCATCTGCTCCATCGAGCATTCTTGAACGTGTCTCAGTCAGCGTTGACAGCATATTGTCAAAGCCCAACTAGCTGAACTCAGATCTCCAGCTTCATTCACGAGGCAGGGATGGAGAGATGGGCTTTGGACTCCGTGGCCGCTGCTCATCCTTGCGGTGCAAAAAGTGTCCCTTCCTCTGAGTGGACACAGACCCTCGCAGGGCTCAGGGCATGGGGAGTGGATTGTAGAATGAATGTCCACCACCACTCACCTAACTGACAGAAACTGCTCGACCAAACATGGCAGCCTTTACTGAAACTGACCAAAGTTCAAATCTCCCCTTTGCCCCTTGCTCCTTATATGAATTTGAGAAAGTTTTATCATCTGAGCTGAAGGTTGCTTGTCTATAAATTGAACAGTATTGCATCAGCTTTCCTGAGGGCTGTTGGGCAGATTAAAAAGAAATCCTATGTGTCAAGAGCTGGTACCCGATATAGGGATTATAATGGTATTATTATTGACTTCAAGAGCAGTGCAATCAAGGTTTATTACAGAAACCCATCCTCTCACTCAAGCCAGGTTCTTGTTGCATCTAGTTTTTGTCTCTCTGAATGAGCCAGGCCAGACTTCTATTCTGCTTTGGTCTGGGTGATTTGTCCATCCTGTCTGTAGCCCACGGAAAGCCAAAGCAAGTTTGAAGTCCGTCCCAGACTTTTTACCTTTGCTTTTCTTCTGAGCAAGACATATGTATGTCTAACAAACCTCAGTAACAGATTCCTGTAGGAAGAGGAAGACTAGAAGATAAGAAATAAATAGCCTGTGTCTGGGTTTTGTAATTTTGAAGCAATTCCAAATGGACTGTAAAATATATTTGGTTCAGATCTGGGGTGAGATTTGCACATTCTGTATAACAGCTCAGTTGTCCTAAATGTCTAACGCAAGTCAGGAAGCAGTTTGCATTTCTCTTTGCCTTATCTGGAAAAGGAGGCTCGTATTTAGCCTATAATGAATCATGTTTCATAATTACTTTCTTTTTAAGTCACTAATAATGTCCATTACTTAGGGGTGTGTGTGTGTGTGTGTATATATATATATTTTTTTTTCCCCCCCCACCGGGGTGAATGTTAGAGTGAGAATGAGTGAGGTGATATCAAGTTCAGAAATTTTTGAGTGGGGAGAGAACCCTGCCCACGCTGTCTTTCTGTCTGTCAGACACTTACGGCCATGGTTACATAGGTACCAGTGTAAGGATGCTCTGAGCCTGCTCCAGGCACAGTCTTGAGCTGTACCTACAGGAATCTTCAGGGGCTCGGAGATTCCCATTGCATGTTCAGGCACTGCTTTGTTTTTGAACTCCTGGGAGACTTACACTTACTGTCTGCATGGTGGTGGTGGTGTTTTGGTTCAATCATCACTGGGTTTGGAACACTCTCTCCAGTTGGCTGGCCACGCGCCTTTTCCTGTGCGTGATACGCACCCGATGTTGATAAGTGGGGACTCGAAGGCTAAGTCCCTGCGTGCTCAGCACAGTGAATCTCAGAGAGCAATCTCCTCGTCAGTCCTCCAGAACAGCTATTTTCCACTCCTGGGGGACTGACTGTCTCTCCAGACTGGAAATGGGATTAGTAATAGAATTTCACAGCTAAAAAGTCCCTCTTCAAAGCTGGCCCTCGCCTGGATGGGGAGTGGATGAATCTGCAAGAGCCATCAGTCAGCTGTTGCTTGTTTCTCAAGCATGTGGGTGTTGTCTGCTGGTTAGACTCCAAGTATATGTGATGTCTCTCCTTGGCACTAGCTTCAGCCCAGCTTGAACCCAGCGCCTGACTCAGCGAAGCCTGAGGAAGGGGTCAGGTGGAAAGGAGCTTCTTCAAGAGCTTTCCCCCTGATCAGTGGACTGGTGACAACCATGGTGTTGGCTCACAGAGCTTTGAACTGCGTTATGTCAGGCAAATCGAACAAACGGATTCATATGCTAGACAGAAAGAGATGGGATCACAAAAGTTAGATCGCTACCTGTAAAGTAGAAGGGATCTGAAATATACTGACTGTCTACCTCACTTAAATAGCAACTTCACCAACTTACATTCAGCTATCTTCAGGAAGTTTATAGAAGAGCACACTAAAGATAGCAGGGTGGGTTCCTTCCATTTAATCAGTTCATTCTAATGCCATTCATACCAGGAACTGGTCTTGGAGTGGAGTCCCCTGGGGAAACACAGATTTCTTCACCTGACCCCTGAATTCCTGGGACTCAAACCAAATGACTGCTGACATCTTTCATCTTTAAAAGGATGCTTTGACTCACAGAGTGACAGAGGAAATGCACTTGTGGATACTTTGTTGAGGGATCGGAGGAAGGATGGTCCAATGGTCCGAACTGGTATTTTACAGCCAATGAGTGACAAGCCCATGAATCAAATGTGTGAAAGAGTAGCTGGCTCTGAAGGGATGCAGAACTCTGAGTCTCTTCTAATCTAGAATCACATCTAGAAATTTAGCTCTCACGTAAACTTCTGGAGAGTAGTGTCACCTTCTTCTCAAAGACCAGTGCTCAGACACTCACGGCAACTCTAGGAAGGAAGGAAGGACCACCAGTGTCCCTCTGAGGCGTTATTTCAGTTTGTCCCCAGAGCAGCCCCCACAGGTCAGGTCGGTATTACTACCTGATGGGTTTAATGGATGAGGAGATTAAGGTGAGGCTGCTGTGTGTTTAAGATTCCAGAGCATGTAATGGCACTGGGATTTGAAATCATGCTGATCCAAAGCAAAATCACATTTTTGGAGACTTCTCGTTGTTGAAAGAGCATCTTCACGGTGTGGCGGCCTTTTAGATTTCAGTCATTGCCAGCATGGGACACATGCCTGGCTCGTGACGTGGCACACAAGTCCACTGCAATGCTTCTTTCTCATCTGAGTCCCTCATTCAGCACTTAGACGTATCAGAAGACTGCTCCAAGTTTGGCGTCAATTGCCTTTGATTACTTGTCACTCATGACATTGTTGACTTGTTGAAGCTTCAGCTGACTAAATCCTCTAAGATATTTATATCTTTATTCAACATTTTTTAACAAATAATGTTTAGATCCAGGTATTAAGAATTGACACCTATCCCCATGACATTTCAACCTGTTAGAGTCTACCCACTTGTACACTTTGATGGCATCCATGTGAAACACGATCTTATCCTCATTCTAGTTCTTGGCTCTGTGCCACTGGTGACTCTGATAGCAGACATTCTATATCTCCATGCACATGAATGGTGCTGGCAGAATGGTGCTAAGAACACAAAAGCCTGAAATGTGCCCCCTTCCTTCTTGTTGAAATGGATTCCGTGATCAGAACCTTCAGGCTCAGATTTTCAGTCATACAGCACTACAGAGAAGGGAGTAAGGTCCCCAAGGGAATTCCCTTGTACGTGGCTACACAATTTGCACAAGTGAAGATGATACATCCTCCCGAAAGGCTGAGATGCACCTTGAGATGCCCACTCATTCCTGGCTTTGATAGTAACAATTAAAATAAGACAACGTGGGTTTAACTTCTTCCTCTGCTGCTTACCAAGTGTATAATTTGGGACAAGTCATTTGGGTACCCCTTAGTCCAGTTCATTCATCCATCATGTGGTGATAATAATAAAAAAAACCACACAGTGTTTTGTTTTGTTTTTTTTAAATCAATGAGGTCATTAGATGTTAAAGTGCTTTTTGAAAGCTCAATGCAAATGTTGTTAGCTCTTGTTATTATGTGAACTGGGATATAAAGGGAGTGTTTACCCTGAAGATCTGTTCATGTAGTCATGGGTCCATTCCATCACAATTTATTGATCACCAGCTCTGTCCTAGGCACAGTAAGAGAGGGTGGTGCTACAAAGACACCTCCATTTGTTTTCTCATCTTTTCTCACTGTCTGGCGGAAAGACAGACCTCTAAATTGCTCCCATCATGCATTTACAACAAACGCTTTTATTCAGTATGCAACACACGTCATTGCAATTATTCTTTTCATGTATAAACGTGAATTTTATTTCCATTATAATGTAAGACACAGGGAATGAGATTTATGATACAGAGGGGGAGTATGTTTAGATTATGCTTAAATTTTAACATGTAAGGTTAAAAGTAAGGAAATATTACTGAGAAACAGAATAAATATTATTGTTCAAGTCCCCAGACTACATTTCTGTGAATCTATGATATCCCTGCCCGATATCCCTTGAAAGTGCCAGGAAGGTAGTGGAAAATCCACTAGGTCTGGGCAGGCAAGGATGGGGCCAGCCAGGTTCTGGCCTATTCAGACGACTTGGAATGACACGCTGGCATTCACGACAAGCCATCACCACACACCCATGAACTACCTCACTTGGCTCCAGAAACCACGTGAGGAGAGTTACTGGGTTGGTAGAGGCCCTGTGGAGCTCACTTCCTGTTCGTCCTTGGGCAGATGGAGGAAGTGCATGCGTCTCATTCTCATGTTTTTAGGCTCAGCAAACCAGCAGTGAGGCAGCACCTACAGAGCACAGGGCCATAGGAAACTGGGTTCGGTCCCCCTAGAGTGAGTCTAAAGCAGAGGGACTCAGAACTGTAGTACCTGGATGCTTAATATTGGGCTTCCCGATGGCCTCCGCCCAGGGTGGCCACAAGGAGTCTCCTGGACTGAAGCAGGGCTGAGAGGGTGGTCAGGTGGATGGAGTGGAGTGATGCCTTATGGGTTTCCTGTTTGTCACGACGGAAAGGCCACACTTACCTGCTCAATCCCCATTTACTTTGTATTCTAGGATAGAGGTCAGGAGGACTACACCCCACCTGCCTATACAGCTGTGGTGTGTTGAAAGATCCGTGGACTTAAAGTAAGAAGATCTGGGTTTGAGTCTCAGTCTGTCACTTACTTTCTGTGTGACCTTGGGCAAGTCACTTCACCTATCTGAGCTTCAGTTTACCTCTCTGTTTAACTGGGAACATAGTATCCGTCTCATGGGGTTGCTGTGAGAATTCAGTGAGATGGTGCATGTGGAAAGGGCTTTGTTGACTGAGTATTGCTCCAGAGAAGCGCGCAGAGAGCAGAGTGTGTAACGCCGGGTTTCTTTTCCAGGTATTCATCCAGTGGTTTAACAGCCCCACAAAATGCATCAATAAATATGCAACTGCCTTCAAGAGAGACAAACTCCTATTTTAATAGCTTGGAGCAAAAGGACCTGATGGGATATTCATCCCCAAGGGCCAGTTCTGTGCCCATCATCCCTTCAGTGGGTCTAGAGGAAACCTGCATGCAAATGCCAGGGATTTCTGAAGTCAAAAGCATCAAATGGTGCAAAAACTCCTACTCTGCTGATATTGTCAACGTGAGTATTCCAGTCAGCGATTGTCTTATAGCAGAACAACAAGAGGTGAAAATCTTGCTCGAAACTGTCCAGGAGCAGATCCGAATTCTGACTGATGCCAGGCGGTCAGAAGACTACGAACTGGCCAGCGTAGAAACCGAGGACAGTGTGAGTGAAAACACAGCCTTTCTCCCCCTGAGTCCCACGGCCAAATCAGAACGAGAGGCACAATTTGTCTTAAGAAATGAAATACAGAGAGACCCTGCGTTGACCAAGTGACTTGACGTGTAGGAACCTGTGCATTCTATGCTTTGCTCAACAGGAAAGAGAGGAGATTAAATACAGATTATTTATATGCATTAATTTAAGAGCATCTACTTAGAAGAAACCAAATAGTCTATCGCCCTCATATCATAGTGTTTTTTAACAAAATATTTTTTTAAAGGGAAAGAAGCGTTTCAGGAGGGATAAAGCTTACAACTAAAGCTTTGGGGTAGAATTCTGAATACCATTTTGGTTAGTCCCAACACCGTCCTCTTTGGCTCTCGGTAGACGTGGGCAGTTCAGACCCTCAGCCCCACAGCGCCAGTGTCCTCGTAAAAAAGCACTGGTGGGCTCCCGGTTTCAAAGAGACGAGCTGTACCCCGAGGGCAGATGCACCAGTGAGCAGGAGGCCCTGGCCATTTGGCTTGCCAAGCCCAACCCCTAAATTTCTATTCATTCGACAGCCTCATCACAGGTTATGTCATGTCGACAAACGTTGTGTTTTGTACTTACTTTTCGCAGAAAGGCACAAAGACTGAAAGGAAAGGGACAGGAGACAGAGGGAGTCACGAGGCAATCTTAGCTACTCTTACAGGCCAGCTTCCTCTGAAATTTGAAGGCGCAGGATCTCGGAGGGAGGTATAAAATTATTACAGAAAAAGAGACAAAAACATCACAATGTCGTGTCACAAAAATCATGCTAATAGAAATGTTTTCCTTTGAGATCATTTAGGGCTCCGAAAGAGCATTTCTTAGTGTGTATGTGTGTGCCTCTGTGTGTGTGTGTGTGTGTGTACACACCTGTATGGGACTGCTCCCTGGAGCACTGGTATGCCGTATGCACGTGTGTTCCTTGTGTGTATGTGTGTGCACGTGTGTGCATATTAAGCTTGCTTAAATTTGTTCTGAAACATCAGGGAATCTAAGATTAAGGAAAAAAAAGGCAAATTTCCCTCTTAGATCTGTTCACTTTCAATTTTTCCATAAAGTATAAAGTTCGGTTAGTAAATCAAGATCACTTGCATGGCGGGGGTCCTATAAACCTGTTGACAATGTCTAGACCATTTTCTGATGTGAACTTTTTTGAGAGGAACAACTAATTCTTGGCTCATTAATGATATCAGTATCACAAGGCGAGCTGGGGATGTGTGCTTAATTTGAATCATGCGTACTCCTTAAATTATTTACACAGGCCAGGGATCAAATTGAGAGCTACCCTTTGCTTTCTCATCATCCTCATTCTTACTGATTTTGTAGCAAGTCTGCTATGTGTGGACCAAGACACTGGCTTCTGTGGTTAACACGGAAAGAATAAATTGTTGAAATCACAAAGCCCAGACTATTCAGTTCACAGGGAGCCCCCAAAAGAACAGTAAATTGTGTTGTATGTTCATTTGGAATAAAGCAATATTTTTACCACTGCTAAGGTGAACTGAAACTTCTCCTAAAGGTTTGTCTGTTTTATTTACCCTTATTATTTTCATGGGGCATTCAAGGAAATTAGTGTTCCCATAACCAGTCTTTTTCCAATTATTGGTGGTGTTGCGTTGTTATGTTTACACTGTTTTAAATAAAAAGGCACAGTATTTGAAAGTATGTAAAAGATTTCTTTTACTGAAGTTTGGGAAAACCTTGATTAAAATTTCCTTGCGGAAGAGTCGCAGTCCAGTGAAACGGAATGGAACTATTTCTGAATCAAATATTGAATATATACAATTCTTATGTGAAGTCACGTTGTTTCTGTTTAAAATCCATTGTAAATTGCTCTTTGAGAACATTCTTTGATAATAGACATAATGTCGTACAGAGAAAGAGAGAACATTGTGTTCTGATCAGCACTTTAGTGGAAACTCAAAGTCTCAAATGTTGAAAACGTTTTGGTAGACATGCACTTAATATTTAACAAAAGGCTTGTGATATGCATTAGCTGTTTCATTATAGTTCCGTTGTTTCGAATATAGAGGTTAATACTGTTAGATTCTTGAGGGGTTATTATAAATTTTTAATGTCTCGATTATCTAAATTCTCATTTAAAAATATTCTATCTTTGGGAAAGTTTTAGAAAGAACCCCTTAATTAGCAGGTATATAAAAACCCTGTAAGTTGTATATTTAATGTTACTATCTTGATATTCATCACATTTATCATTCACTGGAAGTCCTCACAAGTCTGTTGAAGTCAACTCTGTCTTGGGTTTTTCACTAAAATGTTACCTGGTGCGTATGTAATGGATTCACACAGAAGCCACCTAGCAAGGAGGCTGTATATTCTGTGACTCACGGCAGTTATTTTAATATATCATTTACTCTGAGAAGATCAAAGTTTGTCAGTCAGACTTAAGTCCTGATCCAACCCCTATGTTTGTACAGTAGAGCCGTATATTATGTGATTATAACCAGCCTTGTGAATTCCAAAGAGCATGGACATCATACTCCTTAGGTTTAACAATCCAGTTACATCCAAATTGATTGATAGAAATCCTCCGTAAAGAACAAATATTAACAGTCATTTTCAGTGATCATTTGTCTCCTTTTGGAGTATATGGAGCTCTCCTGTGAAAAGGGTCCACACTCAAAAAGCACCTCTTTGGGCACCAGCTGACAAGTGCTGAGAGCATCAAGGCTTTCAAAGTTGATCTAACGTGGCCATCACCTGGAGCCATCGGTACCTTGTCCTTCAAGCTCATGTGCCTACAGAGAAGTGGTTATTTCTACAAGACACTTTTGATTTTGCTTCATTTGCCCTGTCATTATTAGGTAAATAGACATTTGGAGATTTGTAATTAAGTAAGTTGCATATTCATTGTTTACCGGAGAATGAATGTCATCCGTTATTTTTCACTCAATCATTTTCTGATGTCTTTTTTTGTAAAGTGTATGTTATGCTAATTTGCCAGTGACTGATATAGAATGCTGTTGTTCAAAATAGATGAACAATTTTATGCTAATGAGAAATAGTGGAAATTCTATTGGAGAGCTGGCATCTAAATGTTCTTCCTGATCTTCCTATGTTCACCAAGTGCTCAGTGTTTTCCACTCTTGTCCAATATCTACCTTGCAATGGGTTAAGGACTAAATATTTATTGATGGATCAAATCTCCTATGATTTACATTATTTCCAAGTAGTAATAAATAGCAAGGTCCTCTGGAGGAGAAACAGTGCTATTTTTAGGACTTCACAATTAATCTGTTTTGATCATAATACCATATCAGACCTGTCAAAAAGAGAACAGAAGGGCCAAGCAGCTTTCAAGAGAATGACCGCTGGCTTCTGGCTTGAATGACAGCTACAGTTTGGGCGGGGCCCCTGGGGACCGTGGCTAAGGCTTTCAATACCAGGTCTCCACCAGAATATGGCTGATGTACGCAGCAGTCACTCACACGTATCCTGCAGTATGGTGCTATAGAAAACCTCGACTCCCCAGGCGAGGTGGGGGTGGTGATTCCTTCGATTCCAGCCCCATAAACCAGAAAACATTGCCCTGAGACAAGTGCTGTGAAACATTTCCCAAATGAGTATACAGTACACCTAGGAACACCGCAGGAGGGTGGGGTTTTTATTTGCTCTTTTGGTATCCAGGTAACATTTTATATATAAAGAATACTTTTTTATTATTATTCAATTGTATAGATTCAGTACAGTGTATTCAATGATAGCATGTCTACACTATGTTTGTACTTTTTAGTCTGCAGGAATTCAGTCTTCATCCAGGAAAGACCAGCACAATACTTCTGGGCTGTTCTCAATTTTAAATGCCTCCCAGTATGTCATGGGAAATGAGGCCTTCAAATAAACTTTATCTCTTCCTCTTTCATTCTTTCTTTCCCTTTTAAAGAAATAGTGAGGGTAAAGGAAGAAATTCATTCAATCCTTAATATCAACATTGTTCTCTTAGAATATCTGTTTCCTACTGTGACTACACACACACACATGCACACACATATACATATACATATATAAGCATATATGTATATATAAAATACATATGTATATTACATTTAGGTGTTTGTTTTGGTAGCTTTATTTTTTTCCTTCCCTTGAGAAATATTAAAGTGATTGCCTCATGGAATGCCAATGAAATAAAATCATTTAGAAATCAGCCAACTTGGCGATGTTTCGCTAATACAGGCATTTTTCTAGTCCTTTCTCTTTCTTAGGTAAGCCGAAATCTCCTCGGGTTGGAAAATTCAAAAGACCCTGGAGTAAAAACCTCTGCTAGATTCTCTCTTAGAAATGAAGATGAAACGATGGGCATATAGGATAACTGTCCCTATAGTGTATAATAATAATCTCAAGTATGTTTTTTACAAATTTAATCCTAACTTCTCCCAAAGGTGCCTAAACAGGTGTCTTTGGCGTCTCGTGCCCACAGAACTCTGGCGAGGAGCCGTGGTGAAGGCAGAGTGGTGGTGAGGAAGCTATAGGTTAGTGCTGGATACCCAGTGACAGTGTTAAAACACCAGACCTAGAAGTACCAGGCTTCCGGCACTCTGATCAAACTTTTTTTGTCACAAATACCTGTATTGACTGCACGTGTATTGTTGCCTATGAAAGAACTGTGTGATAGCAAACAAGTTCTTATTGTCGGACACCTTTACATTGGAAGTCGTCTTTGTGAAAGCGTCTAATTTATGTCTAAGTACTAGTAGCTCCATGACCCCATCTGGTTCATCTTTGATTTCCCTTCCAAGCTGGATGGAATGTTATCCAGTCATTCTAACTCAGACTTTACCTGGTTATTTGTCATCCAGTAACATAAACCTTCGGAAAGTTAATGGCTGTTAAGACACAAAAACTATTAGAATCTGTATATCAATCTATGAGTAAGACTTACATTGACAGCATTCCATTTAATTTCCGTGGAGAAATAGACAGGATCTCGTTTGTAATTGTTTTTAAAGTCAATTTACCTAGGACAGGTAATAAAGAAGGGATGGCCAAAGCAATACCCAATTTCAAAGCTTGAGCATCAAACTTTGCCCCAGATTTTTTTGGGTCAGAATTTGCCGTAGATTTTTTTTTTTTTAAAGAAACCACAATTTGTGAACCTTTACCGAAGCCAGAGCAAAAGGTCCTGCTGAGAAGGTGTGAGACCTGGAACATGTTCTCCTCCCACAGAAGCCATGACACACGCTTCTTGGACACACAGGCTATTGGCTGATAGTTTTATTAATTTGCATTTCATATTTTTTCATTTTAATAATTTTTTTAATTTTAATTTTAATTTTTAAATTTAATAATTTTAATATTTTTAATTATTTGCATCTCAAACTTCTTAACATAATTTTTTAATTAATAGGGAATAAATTCTCTGAAGACACTTTTATATTATAGTTGAAAACAATCCTGTCTGGGGGGCACAATAGGCAAAAAAAAAATATGCAGCGTTCACTTATTTAATTTTGGTTGTAATTGCTCTTTCTGACAAATCAGTGTCTATTTGCTCTTCCAGGAGCATCCTGACTAGCATGAATTCTTCTCCACATAATTCATCTTTATTGAGCTCTCAGAGTCTGAATTCCTTAGTCTTCAATAAAGCAATACAGAATGTTGAAATACTTCGATCAAAAACAGGACATCCCTTTAAATTGTGTTAGTTTTTAATGTTATAAGGATTCCATGTAGTTGTTTGCAAAATTGAAACAGGAGGGGAAAAATCCACATTTTTCACTTGTTTTTGATGTATTTAGAGGTCTGGTGAGCCACTCACACAGCCTTGTTAATACTTTACATTGATAACTTTTCTTTCTGAAATAAATTTAAATGTAAGGGCTTTATCTCTCTCTCTCTCTCTGTCGCTGTCCCTGTGTCTCTGTCTATCTCTCTCTGTCTCTCTCTCACACACACACACACAGAGCACAGTGCACATGATGTGTTAAAACTCAATGTTGGACTCCTCCTCTTTAGATGTTTCCTTTACAGATCACCCAAGCGTGTGACACTCCAAACTCTTATGACACGAAGAACTTGGATTCAGATATGTTTTTCCTAGGAAATGAATGCGGCAAGAATATATAATGATTATCTTTTAAGGTTTGTTCTATACAGCCTGCTCTTGAATTTTGCCTTTATTGATAAAAGTCTGGAGGATAGATACATTTGTTCAAATGGAAACAAATGGGAGAATGGAAAACTCAACTTAAAATCACTACATATTTTCCAGTGGCCAATGTACATATTTTAAAGGTAATTAGAGGGACATTACTTGGCTCTTTCTTATTTTTTCAGGTATGCAATTGTACACATTAACTCTAAATAAAAATGAATTCTTTTCTTCTTAATAATGAATATATTTGACCAATGACCGTATTTTATAGCATGTAACTCACACAGAAAAGAATACATGCAAAATGATCAGCAGACTATTTTTAGTTGTCATTTAAAATAAATTTACTCAAAACCAATCTTTCGTGCCTGTGATAATAATCTTTCAAGAAGCGTATATGTATCTACTTCTTCCAAGAAATCGTTGCAGTGTGATGTCCACTACTCTGTGGGATGTGAAGTCTATGGAAATTAATACTTAGCTGTCTGTCTCTTGACATCCTGGTAAAGTTTAGTTCCATTATGTCTGCACTTTGTTTTTGGGGAGACAG